CTCCGCCCCCCGCCCGGCGCCCGCCCGCCCGCCTGCCTGCCTCCGAGGCGGCGGCGGCAGCGGCAAGGTCGGCTACAGAGCGTTCTGTGCGCAGGCGCACAGAGCGCTCTTTCATTTTCGGGGGGATTTAAACATCCCCCCGATATTTTTTTTTAGTTTTTACATTTTTGTGCACCCCTGGGGACTGCCCCAAGAGTGCACAAACCTCCCCCAGCCCCCCAGCTGCCCCCGGAGCGCTGATCTAGCGATCCGCACTCCGGAGGCAAGTTGGGAATTAGATATATAGATGGTATGCAATCCAAAGGGTAAGCTACAATAGCTGCATGAAAAACATGAAATCCAAAATTAGAAAGTAAAGAGATGCAACTGTTTTGTGGTTTTACCTGCGTAGCAGTTGAGCAGATTGATCAGCACTAAAACAGCATGCCCTTCCCCCTTCCAGTTTGTCTTTTGCAACCTTTCCATATTGCTTGGCTGAGAGGCAGCAACAATTAGCTACATGCTTAGGTGGCACTTTAGAATATATTGCTGAATGTCCTGTGAATGACTGCCTGAATTTAGGAACATACCAATTTAGCTAACATTGAATCAACTGAAAAGGCTCGAGTCACTTAAATTGGAAACTCAGTGTGCTTTCAATGTGAACATTCATTCCGCTCCCAGAAGCAACAAAACAAAGCAGTAGTAGCTAACTGGGAGAACATGGATACAGGTTTAGGATGGAAGGAGGCAGCTGTGCTGAGTTGTGAGATACTGTGGCAAGGTCAACGCAATATTAGCCATTGCTGGGATGGGGGGGGGCAGTAACAACAAAGAATGGGCACTAGACGGAGCTTAGGAGAGTAATGTATATGAGAGAACAAAAATGGGAGAGGGTCCTTTTATGTATTGAAAAATGAGAGAGATGAATAGGGGATCCCTGTATGGGACTTAGGTGTGCTATGTATGCAAGAGAAGATGTGAAGTAATGCATTCACCTGGCATCATCTGTACCAGGCAAAGCCTGTCCTGTTTGTTTTGATTTTGGTGCTGGTGGTAGTTCATCTTTCTCGCCCCTTCCCCCTGGACTTAATTTATTTTATGGCTTCTTGGCTTTGTTTTTTTATGACTTTGTTGATGACTTCTTGAGTTTTTACTGTGCTTCTGTTTAAATTATTGCATCTGTGTTAATTTATGGCATATTTTTATTGTACTGTGATGCACCTTAAATAACTATTGAACAGAAAGGCAACATACACTTCTTTTAAAATAAATGTCACTGTTAAGCAACAGAAAGGAAGATGCGCGGGGGATACAGCCCCGTGTACATACAGATACTATGTCTATGTGCAAAGGTGTGTGAAGGAAGAAATCTATACACAAGATTACATTCTCATGGTCATTAAAATCCACATTTCATAGACCTGGCATATCTTGTTTAAATAGGTTACGGTTGTTGCTTTTTTTTCTTTCTTTCCAGGCTCACAATAAGCAAGATGATGAATTTTGCAGCATTTGGCAATCGTTGCAAAGCTCTGGAAAATCTCAGCCTGCCCAGCAAAACAGACATGAGAAGGTTAGTTTTATATCTCAAGAGTGTATAATGTGCAATAAAACTCCTGTGCAGGATATTGCTACTAAAAAAAATCTCAATTTTTTTAGGGTGGAATTGTGCCTCAGTATATAAAGCTAAATGCAAGTGGCCAGTTCTGTAAACCAGGCTTCAATGAGAGTAGCTTCAAAGGCCAGCAAAGAAAGCAAGAGTCATTTAAAAAATGTAAGTTTTTTATGTTAAAAAAACCTCTAACATTTTGTTCTAGAAAGCAATAGTATTTGATTTCTGTAGATACCTTCCATCTCTGACAATGATAATACTCAAGCAGGGGCGGATGTGATACATTTGCCAGCCTAACCCTGCCTGCTACTTTTCAAGAAGGGGAAGTATTGACTTATTCTGATTTGTTTTGAGGGTTATTTGTAGTTGGGTTTTGCCTTTTTATAGTAGAGTGTTTTCCTTTTACTACAGCTCCTTTGTTTTCCTCCAATATCCTACCTTTTATTCCATGAGGGATTTCCACTGTGTTGTTGAGTTTCTCTGCTGTAGTTTTGCACCTAGATTTCATCCATTTTTATCAGATTTTCTGAAGGGAAAGAACAGGAAGTGATTAAAGATACACTGGGTTTGGATAAAAGGGCAATGCCTTTCTAGTCAGTTTTGAAATACCTGCCTTGGCTTGTTTGGCTAATATTGTGAACTTTGTTATAGTAAAAGAAGATACTAAAGGTCCAAGAAATGAAGGTGAATCACATAAAATAACAAATAAACCAGTAAGTTTTAATCATCTTTTTTGTGTGTTGATTCTGATAACTATAGGTATGTTAATTTCTTTTCCAGGTTCCTTCAGTTATGATAATGAAAAAAAGCCCCATTATTACATTAGAGAGTTGAAGGAATTAGGTCTTAGGTTTCTTTTGAGAGCAATTTCTGACAAGGCAAAGGGAAGGGTGGGGAGCAGTATTCCCTCTAAGCTGAGTTAGTGTGAGCTAGCTCACAGTTTTTTAGCCTCCAGCTCACAAATTTTTGTATCAGCTCAGGAAGGATGGCTCCAGAGCAAACTGATTTATGCAATAGCCAAATCGCTCGCTTACTGCTTTAATGCCAGTAGCTCACAAAGTAGAATTTTTGCTCACAAGTCTCCATAGCTTAGAGGGAACATTGGTGGGGAGCAAAGATTGCACTGGGTGTCACAACCCCTTTGATGTGCCTTAAGTAGGTCTTTCTGTCTTAACCATAGTTCAGAATTGACAGCAACCTTTCTGAAGCCATGCCAGTGTATTCTTTATCAATATATGTCAACACACACACACAGAAGTTCATGTGTGCATATATGAAAACAACACTTTTGGAGTATAATTGCCTAGCATAGCTAGTAAAGTTTCAGCCATTTAAATTGCACCAATGTTTTCTCTGTTGCTAAAAATTAAAGCTATAAATAACTGCTAGCTATATAAGCAACTACACTATTGCGATCCATTCACATGTAGGAATCATAGTATGTTAAAAGGCCTATACTGTTTCTACTTTTGCCTTTTAAAATCAATTTATATGATTGTTAAAACATAAGTAATATTCCTGTCTGTATCAGAATTTTCCAGGTGCTAATAAATGTAATGTGAAGCTTTTAAAGAGAAATGAAGGTCCAAATATACCAGTAGAACAAAAGCCTGCAGTTGATAGTGCCAGTATAACTGAGAAGGTACAAGTAAGTATTAGCATGCACCTGAGTATATTATGAGAAGGAAAAGAATCGGCAAGTGTATTCACTGCATTTTAATAAGACAGAGTTGCATTTTTTCTTGACTTCTTTCCCATATGGAATTGGACGTCTGCAGGACATCAACAGGACTGCCTATTCATTTATTATTTGAAATATTTATTATTTTATATTCTCAGCTTAAAATCTTGCAAGGCAGCTTGTAAAAAGTAACAACAAATGAAATATATATCAATTAAAAATGCAGCAAGAAGCAGCAGCATAAAAGAGCTGTTTCTAAAACCAAAGCACTATAAGTGTGACAATAAAGGAAAGCAGCAGTCAATATCAAGGAAGTGATGAAACAAGAGAAAATAATTTGACCAAAACAGCCAAACATCCTTCAACAATCATTAAATGCCTGAGCAAAGATGAGAGTTTTTATTTGGCACCAAAGCCTTAACAGGTTTGACACAAGAATAGCAGTTACAGGGAAGGAGTTCTAGATGTGAACGGTTATTGTTCCCACCCCCTTGCCTAATCCTAAATCCAAGAATTGCCATTAGCAAGTCATCAATGAGCTCCCTCAGCTTCCTGTCTGCAAACAGAATAGTATTTTCACATTAATTTTCTCTGTAAAAATTAATGGTTAGAAATTACTTTATACATTGAATATCCCAGGTTGTATCCTGTGGACTGTCCCTGTATCCCAGGACTGTCCCTACAGCAGTGTGGGGCTTGGGTCAAGCCCCCCCCCCCCCCCCCCCCCAATTTGATTTGCAGGTCCTGAAAGTCTTCCATTGCTTTGGCAACACATTTGTGGCTTGGGGCAGCTGCTTAACTGATTGGTGATAGCCTTGAGCAGAAAGTGTATGTTACTATATGCTTTAAATTCCAAAGCTACTGGATAGCTTTCCCTGACCACATCACCTGTATGATTAATAAGGTGAATGTGGGGCACTTGAACACAGAGGCCCCCCCCCCAAGCATGGGACCCAGGGTGGTTGCCCTGATTTGCTGTACTTGAGATAGCTCTGGGTGCTCCATGGACAGAGGAGGGTAGAGAAGCAATCTTACCCAAATCCTCTCTGCAGTCCCCCAAGTTTTGTGGGTTTTCTTTGTGAGAGTCTTTACCTCCCCCCATGCCTTTTCAGGATCACAGGAAGTTGCTGATGAAAGGAAAAGGCAAGGAAAGAGCTGCTTGTGCTTGTACAGCATCCATAGAATCCAACTCATTGTATACATTAGTCATAAGTCAGTCTGCTGCCATCTAATTAAATTACCTTCTTTGAGCTATGTGGAAAAGCAGTACATAAATATGTTAAATATATATCTGCTGAAGCTACAGAATAATTAAAATGAGAACCTTGACCTTTTTTGTAAAGCTGGGTAATTGCTCTAATTGGATTGCTCTAATTTAGAACTCAACTAGAAAATATAGTAAGTATTCTCTCTATCATGTCAGATAATTCCAGGGGTTAGGGGTGGGTATTTTCATCAAGGGAACTGTGCAGAGGAAAGCACCACAGTCCAAATCCCAACAGGACTTCCACCATGGTTATTATTAATGGACGTTGAAAGGGACAAGATATCTGATTACAGATCCATAACCTCTTTTGTAGCTGAGCCTTACTTGATTCCCCCACCCCTTTTGGCGATACCTTGACATGATTCAAAAATTCCACATTGCTCTCAAGTGTGCTTATTGAACTCCTTGCTAGCCGGTTTCCAGCTTCACTGGCCATATTGAAATTGGTTCCATGCAGAATGGCAGTACATGAGCAGAACTCTTCCAAACATTCCAAACATGAATCAGAAAGACTTTGCACACACTGGAGCTCAGTTTGTGCACTGGAATCTATGAGCTGAAACTGGGATTCATGAGCATGTATGAAGGGTCTAGAATGGGTATAAAGTAAGTAGAGACTATGTTCAATCCTCTTTAATCTTAAATCGGCTAAACTGCACAGTTGGGTATAAATCCTATTGATTTCAGTGGGATTTAAACATGTTTAACCTTTTTTATTGTGCCCTTCTAGTTAATATTTGTCTGCTTATATTCCTTAGAATGGATCTGAAATTGAAAGCCTTTTGGCATCTTTGAAAATTTCCAAAGAAAAAGAAGTGCAATCCACTTATTCCAAGGAGCCAACAAATGAAGAACACCTGTCTCCTCAGTCTTTTGCTATGGTTTGTATGATGTATTACATTGACTACAAAATTAAATGCTTGGTTACAAAATTAAATGCTTGGTTCCTGTTTATAACATACTTAAGATTAATACAACATATTCACAGACTGGCATGGTAAATTTTTGCTGTCCACAAATGCTGCTATTTCATTCCAGTCTCTTTTTTTAACAGAAAGGAACCCAGATGCTCAAAGAAATTTTGAAAATAGATAGTTCCGACACAGCAGAAACTAAGCCAGTGATTAATGAAGCTTCTACTACAACTTGTAAGCAGGATTCTTATGGACCTGCCTCACAACAAAGACATACAAAAAAGATGGGTGTGTACAAAAGTGTGGGTTTCTTTTGTTAGAAAATTTTGGGTTATATATGTTGTACCTTTAAAAAAATTAATGGTATTTGAGTAAATAATATAATTTTGAACACCTAGTGATATTTTGTGTCATCCGACACTGACACTGTGTGCTTTTATGTTACATTATATTGATAGCTGCTTTCATGAACAAATCTCCAATCGCAGGAGGGCCTCAGAACACTCACAGCATGGAAGCCGGAGGCCACCCTCTCTTTGGATCACCAGGCCCATTATCTGCCCCAGTGTCTGAGCTTTCTCGTATCTGTTCTCTTGTTGGAATGCTGCCACCAGAGTTCTCGTTTCTCAGAACTCCACAGGTAAGCTTAGCTTTAAATAGTAGCCTTACAGAGATCTGAACAAATAAACCATAATTTTCACGCCCTGGAACTACGTAACATATGTATAGATTTATAGCTGTTTAGTACCAGGCTTAAATTGATACTGAGCTTTAACTGCACGAATCATGGCGTGTACAGTAACACACTCTTAGCAGCTGGTACATGTCTCCCACAAACTTTACATTTATTAGGTTGAAGGCTGCTTTGACTGCAATCATCAGTGTTTTTATCGTCTGTTCCGTGGCCAAACTGTAGTGGGAAACTTGATGCATCCCCCACAGTTAAAAGGCAAATGCAGTGCGTTCTTCTTCCGCATCTCACTAATATAATTATTTAATTGTAGTTCTTTGTCTTTTGTATTGGATAATACAACATCTTACTTTCATCTTGTTTTTCTTCTGCAGACAATGACAGTTTGTCAGGTGAAGCTGTCAAATGGCTTATTAATACACGGACCTCAGTGTCATTCTGAAAATGAAGCCAAAGAGAAAGCTGCACTTTTTGCTTTACAACAGTTGGTGAGACTAATGTTCAAAATATTTTTTTTAATGTTCATTAGTTGTTCATTAGTTTGTTCATTAGTTGGTTAATCTCATTCTGTTTCCTAAACATGCAACATTCGTTCTTAAACAGAGCTCTGTTGGGATGAACTTCCCTTTGCCACCACCTCCAGTATTTCCAAATTATCAGCAGATGGGAGCCCTTGTACCACCCGGATCCATTCCTCCAGTCTTCACTCAGCACACTGGTATGTATGTGAATTCTTTGGTCTCCATCTTTGGAGAGGAGGGTATTGTGACGGGGTTACTCTTCCCACTTGCTCCATAGAGAAAGCCATGTCAACAAAGTAGAGATTTCATCCCTTAGGATAGGAGAAACCCCCAGCTTCCTTCCAGTTTCTGGTTGTGCTTGGTCTACAGTGCTGGTGATTTTTTGGAGCTATATTCTTTCACTGCAGCTTCCATTAAGGAGGAATGGTTTCCTCTCCTCTGCCTTTCCTCTGCTGTCAACTGCAGTCACCAGTGCTCACTAGAGCTGAGCCTTTAGAGGTGCCAGATGAAGAACTTTGCACACTTGACTTTCAAAGAGTATCAAGCAGATCCATTGACATTGATAATGGAATCTTTTTAAAAAGTTTGTTCTTTTCACAGCTAATATATTTCCTTCACCATCTCATGCATTTGGCCCAGTGCCATGGGGAGCACCAATGCCAGTTCATGGCAAACCTTATTATCCTGGCGCATATCCTGGCAATATGCCACTAGCAGGCACTGTTCCAGTTGGCACACACAACCAGTTTATACCTTTGCAGGTAAGTTTGACAGTACCTCTACAAGTGTATATAAATTATGTGCTTGAAAACACTTCTCAAGGTTTTGAAGAATTAGAGTTAATGCTTCTTTCCCCCCAGGTAACTAAAAAAAGGGCTGCTAGCAAGATACATTTTGACTCTAAGGATTTCTCAGGTACACTTCAAGATGTGCAATTAAAGAATGAACAGCCAGTGTCTTCTAACACCACAAAACTGAATCCACAGGATGCTGCTTCAGATCCTTTAAGATGTCCTCAAGCTGCTCAAAGATGTCCTCAAGCTGCTCAACCCATACTTTCTTTTCAAGAGAAAATGGCTTCTCCAAGTCCCAGTGCATCTCATAAAAAATCAACACCAAATGTTTCCATCAAGCGAAAGCCAAGAAAATTGGCCGTCAATTTTGGTGTATCCAAATCTTCAGAATAAGTATGGTAGATGGATGATTTTATTTTTCTCTTTCTCTCAGTGTTATAAAATCAGTAAATACTACTTTGAATTTTAAGCATAATAATTTGAAGGATATTGAATTGTTAATTTCTACTGTCAATTACAGCTTTTTTTTAAAAAAAAAAGAAGTATGTTTGCTAAAGAGCTTAATTTGGCATGATAAAAGCCAGGAATCTCTGGAATTAAGATCACCATTCTATCCATTGTGCCTAGGTCTCTAAAAAGTGGCTTCTATGTACTGTCCTAGGAGAGGAGCAATATTACTGGCATGGCAGTCCTAATTCAGAATTGCCTCCTTTTAACCAAGAGATGAGAGGCTTCAGTTAATATTTAGCATGATTGTTTATATTTGTCTTCTTTTTAATGATGTCATAACTTCTAAAAAGTGATTTATTTATATGCAGCCTGAATATTTTGTTTCTTTATTTTCAGGTCTCTTTTGATCTGATACAGTGACAATAGAATTTAACTATTGTGGTGCTGCCAGGTTTGGTTTATGTTGATTTATTTGTTGGAGTTATGCCAAAGCAGCATAAGAGCTCAGAACACTGTGCAGAATTATCGTCTTATTGTAAGTCTTAACTAAAATGGCACCATGAATGAATCATTGACAGAGAAATGCAGAGTAAATGCTTCAGAGATTATTTATATAATAGTATAAATGTGAATACGTAAAGAGGCACCCACATAATTTACAAGTTATAGTTTGGCAAAGGCTGCTAATTAACCATCACATAGTTTCCACTGCAGATGGAGAACGGTCCCTAAAATAAAAATTCTTTCACAGGCTCTAGTACTTTGTTCTGTAACAATATATATACACACTGAATCTGGGTATATACAATCATGACTCTTAAAATAATGTAGTTTTGTAAGTCTGAGTAATCTTCTCTAGTATTCAAAGTTTGTGTGTGTGTCTTTAGGCTAGTAGGTTTGAATTTTACAGTTTTCTTAGGAAGATGGCAGACAGCACAGTCTCACTCAAAGACTCAACCCTTACCTTGGTTCTGCTGTGCTGTCTTCCTGTAATCTAATTTTTTACAATACCATCCATGTTTTTATGTTCTGTAGAAGTGTAAAGTATTAAGGTGAAGGGGTACCATTCTACGAGCAAGCTTCAATGTTTAAAGAGTCACAATCTTAAGGCTTTTCCTTTGTTGTTGGCAGATAGGCCTCCTCACTCCAGGTATCACACCTTACTTTTAAAGAGCAGAGATTAATCTCCATGTGGGGAAAATGTCTGTGAGTGAATATTTATCCTGGGGTAATATATCTAGCACCTAAGTGTCCCAGTGTGTGAACTCAATACAGAAAAGGTACTAGGACCATTTCTTGCGAGATAATGGGAAAGCTCTTTTCAGATATGCAGATAATTTTTATATCACAAATAATTCCATCATTCTAAGTTAAAAGGTAAAGTGCATTGCAATAGGGGAATTAGCCATCTACTATGTAACTCAGTACACAATCCTTAGCCAAAGGGAAAAGTCCTTGAGTCCCATTGATTTAAATTATAGAGTAAAAGTAAATGCGTAATACTGCCATGGAGTTTAATGGAATGTGAAGTCACTTAAGTTGGCTGGATCATTCTAGGGTTGTCAGCCCCCAGGTAGGGGTGGGGATGCCTCGTCCTCAGCTTCTCTTTCCCATAGTAGCTTTGAGCAGTGGCAGGAGAAGAATTTTCAAATTGGCCATTATGCTGATGACATGTTACACGTCTCTAGCAATTGCCAGAAACTTTATGATAAAACCTTAGAGGGGAATTGCTGAATACTTATAGAGTTATTGGCAGTTCCTAGAGAGCTGTGACATTATTTCCTGGTTTTCCACAGAAGTGACATCACACTGTCACTGATGTCCCCCCCCCCTCCAGTCTCCCACTGGTTGCCAGGGTAGACCGGGCAAGCCTAAACCCCATATTTCCATTCACCAGCTCTACGTGACCGGCATAGTACATTCATTAGTATAGCCCTCCAGGGTTTTTCCCCAGTCTTAAAAGAAAAGATGAATATGAGGAATAAACTATTTTATTTACCCATACATTTGATAAACAACTAAATATTTTCATTATTTGGCATGCTTAGGGACATAATTTTAATCCAGGGGTGGAAATCTCTTATACTAAATTTCCTAAATTTATTATAGATTCTTCTGTCAGTGCACTAGTAATGGAGGCACCTAAAGGAGGGTTTATGAAAGGTGACTTATCTGAAAACCAGCAAAATCATCATATTGATCTGTTTTTTATCAGTTTTTTCACACCAGAACCTCATGTTTTCAGAAATGACAAGTGTCCATCTGGTTCTTTTCTATACTCTGCATTGTATGTATTTCACAGATTACTTTCTCTGTTCATCTGCAGATTCAGTATTATTTTCCTTACACGTGGTTCCCAATTTTTAGATACATAATCTATAATAAATATTTGGTTTCTGGCATTTTGTTCACAATTTCAACTGGGTTTTTAAATAAAGGTATATTGCTCATTTCTCTCAAACTGTATTTTGTAAATGCTGGAATTTTTCATTAAGATCTTGTACAGAGCAGTATTTTATTAAAATCTGAAAGGGAAGACTTTTATGTGCATATTTTATAGTTTCTTTTTTAAAAAAGAACTTTGTTTATCTGCTAAACGAAATGTTTTGAATTGGCATACGAATTAATATGGGAGTGTATTTTTGTGTTTAGTGTCGTGCATTTTCAAAAATAGCATGTAATTACGCAAAATACTGTGCAAAAGTATTTTAAAATACGAATGTAAAATATACACTGAAGGAATAAATCATCTGAATCAAATACTATATGCAAGTTTAATGCAGTAATTTTTGCAACTGACTTGGTTTGTCTGCTTGGGTAAAAAATGTAAATGAAAATGTTTTGCTTTTCAGTAGACTTCTTTTCTTTAACCAAGTGATTTAGGTGTTGGTTTAAGCTGCATTTTCTGTGTTTAATATCTTTCATCATTCAAATAAAATTTTACATTTGCATTCATGATATAATTTTAATCAGAAGTTTGAAAATTAGCCACTTTTTTTTTTGCAGAGAAGGTAAGGAAGATACAATTTAGTTCATTTGCTCTAAAGCTGTTGTTTTTTTATTGGAAAGGTCTGGAACTGAGTGGTATTAAGACTGACCATAATGTGACTTGAAGGGTTGCATTTCAAACCAGCAACTAGTCTGCCAGTGCTGCCAGTCCGTAGGGCTTGGTCAAAAGCTGAATAAGAGTAAATGTCACCATTCACAATTCATTATTGAAGGTTCCAGTTCTAACACAACAGTTAAACTTGATACCTACAAGTATGACATAATTTTACATTTCCAGATCACTTTTTAGCCTCCCCAGTCTTCCATCCAGAAATAGTTCCAAGCCACTGAAGTGATTTCAGACTAAACTGTAGCGTATATGTATTGTGCATAAGGGACCACACTGAGGCAAAGCCCTAAAGGTGACTAATAAAGACCTACGTTATCAAACCATGAGGTGAGGCCTTCATAAGTGGAATGATTCTGAGGTCCTAAAGTATCAAGAGCAAACCCCATTGTTGTCTCCTCTCCCCTCAGTTCCACAGAACCTGCAACATGACTAAATGGAATGGCGTATTCACTCTGAAGCTTTCCAGGCCCTCCCCATGACAACCATCCACCACCTCCTTTGCACTGTGTACAGAAAGAGGCCTTCTTTATCCGTTTATCATGGACCTTATTCTGTTTCTTGATAGTGTCTGCCTCTGTGCAACTATGAGTGATAGCACATTGGAAGCTGTAGGGATACTGTGAAATTGGCTGTGACTTCCCAGGCAAAGGATGCTTTTTGGTCTATGAATGTGGCAGCTCATTGTTGCAGAAATAGTGGGAAAGAATACATTGTACTGGAATTACATTAGGAAAATATTTGAAAATAGTTTACAGTATAATACCTTTACATGGCTCCATATTTAGAATGGTGCATCTAGTCTAGCTGTCCCCATTTCGATAAGAATATTGTCACTCTGGGTAAAGGTACATAAAAGATTAACTAAAACACTCTATTAAGGACATTCCCTATAAGGGGCTTTTTCAGTTTAGACAAAAAATTTGAGAGAGTAGATAGTTTTCTTCCTCTCATGTAATTCATGAAACACCCAATTAAATTGATCAGCAGTGGGTTCAGAATTGACAGGACATATAGTGCTTAGAATTCAGTGTAGCTGGATCTGGTGATGGTGACTTTTAAAAGGTTTTAGATCTGTTCTTCATGAATGTTTTGTGGCAGCAGAGACTAGGAAAAGGAGGCACTGATTTTGTGACACAGCAATGTGGATATGTACAGTAGTTTTTGGTACTTGAGAGAGCTGCAGCCTTTTAACAACCAAAACAAATGTGATAAAATGCTTTTTAAGATACTGGCATAGGCATTATATTAAGAGCTGTTAATTCTGTTAAGTATAATTTCTCCACTATGATTGGGTTGTGCCCTGTATTACTGAAGAGTCCCAGGGGATAATCTCCCCATCATGCTTTTCACTATACAAGGAAAACGAAGACATAAAATACAAAATCTCCTATTAGCCCATTTTATAATTACTAAAATTGGGAAATAAAAAATTAACCTAAAATGCATTGTTGTTGTTCAGTCGCACAGTCGAGTCCGACTCTTCACGACCCCATGGACCAGATCACGCCAGGCCTTCCGGTCTTCCGCCGTCCTCTGAAGTTTGCTCAACTTCATGTTCGTTGCATCTATGATACTGTCATAAGGTCACTCAAATAGTCAAAAGCAGAAGCATTTCGGCTTCCGGTCGGGCTAAGGTGGAGGACTGACACACTTTCGCGATTGTGCAAAGTGAGCGACGGCCGCTTTTGACAGTTTGGGCAGTTTTTAGCCCAACGCATCGCTCCCCAGTGAGGGGGGGGGACAAGCAGGCAGCAGCGCCTAAGAGGGAGTGTGAGGTTGGCGTGATCCGGCTCCCGAAGGAGCCGTTTCATGCTTTGATCTCCTCCCCCGAAGAAGGCAAGTGCCAAGCAACTCTGCAGCGGCCGTTCGAGCCGGATTACCGGTTTAAGCTCTCTACCAGCCGACCTCTTGAAGATGGGCAACAACAGTAAGTGAAAAGAAGCAATGCGAAACCAGATTTGATCGTGCTAGATAACAATAAACGTGCCGCTTACCTGAACTGTGATAAGATAAAAATTGAAACAAGCAGTTGAGCGGGAAATGACCAAACATTCCCAGAAATCCGATTCCGGCAAAGAAAATAGTTGATTGAAGGCTTTAAAACAGTAAAAAAGAACATTGTTTAACATTCCTGCGGTGGGAATTGAGATATGTGCGCAGCCGAAAACCGAAACTGACGAACTGTATCGCGGGAGGAGCAGGCCGGTGTAACGAAAAAAATACTCCGAGGTGCTGGAACAGGAAGAGGAAGCCCTGAAAGAAGGGCTGAAGCCAACAGGAAGCCAACAGGAAGAGACTCGGAGCTACAAGAGAGCAGAACCGGAAGTGAGTGTATACGAACAGACGGGACCTGGAATACGGTAACCTGACCTACTCTATACCCGAATACCATAGAGAAGTTGCGCCCGACATTTTGAGGAGGACCTGACTTTAAATTTGACTTTAAACTTCTTTTAGAGGGTTTTTAAAAGCGAAAATAGAAGGGAATGGCTGATTGAAGGCTACCCTTTAGAAGAGACTGTTTGTTTGTGAATTTGCGCACCGCAGGAAAAGCACCAAAACGGAGACCAGAAGAGGACCGAAAAGAGCTGACTCTGATCCTGACGTTAAGCCAAAAGTGAGACCAAGAACTAATTCAACACCAACTAGGCTGACACCAACCCCCAAGATGTCAAAAGAGAGGGAGAAGGATAAGAAAGAGATGTATGCTGCCATGGAGGCAATGGAGAAAAGGATGCTGGAAGCAATACAAGCTATGGGAGAACAAAGTGAAAAAAGGATGGGGGAACAGATTGAAAAGCAACTGGAGGCACAAATGGCAAAGCAGACTCAGATTCATCTGAAACAACTTGAAGAGGTTCAGGAGAAGAACATAGCGGCAATTAAAGATTTGGTCACTACTGAGATAACTTCAATCAAGCAAGAAATAGAAGGAGTCAAAAAGGAGATTCAGGCTAATGCAACCAAAACTACGGAAGTGGAAGAGAAGATGCAACAAGTGGAAGAAAAACAGGATTCTTTGACTCAGCAATTTAGAAGATCAGAAACAATGATGGAGTTCAGAAGGATGCAAACCCATCTGAGATTCAGGGGCATTAAAGAGAAGGAAAATGAAGATATAAGAGATGAAATGATGAAGGCAATAACATCATATTTGGAAGAAGATGAAGGGACAATGGACTCTGATTTTGATTTGATATACAGAGTGAACTCCAGAATTGCAGAAAAGAAAAATTTACCAAGAGATGTTATTGTACAATTTGTAACAAGAACAACTACAGAAGATATTTTTAAGAAACAATTCACCGTCCCTTTTGAAATGGAAGGAAACAAGATTATGGTGATGAGAGAACTCCCCCGAGCAGTACTGCAAGACAGAAAAAGGTATAAGCCTTTGGTGGATAAACTGAGGACTTTGAATATTAGGTACAGATGGGAAATTCCACAAGGCTTATCCTTTACTTACAAAGGTGGGAGAGTCCAGATC